AATTAAGATAACGTAAACAAATAGAAATTTGCCCCTCAGGCACAGTAACACCACATCCGCCCCTCGGGCAACATCTCACAACAGTAACAGCCCCTCGGGCTCAATCTCATATCACAATGGGTACCCGCGCTCACTGGGGGTGTGCAGACTCCTGGAGGGGCCCCTTACGGCCCAAGCTCAATAACAAGCTATCTCGTGGCATCAAATCTAAGCCCTCGGCCTCATATCACTCAAGCCACCTCGTGGCGTACATATCTCAGGCTCTCAGCCTCCAATCAATATTAGTATCTCCTCACAATATAGGCCCTCGGCCTTACTCAGTCGAAAATCATCACAAGCCCCTCGGGCAATAGTAAAACAGTGTTTCTCAGCCCAAACATCATTTAAAATATCATTCAAATCTCAAACTGAGTAAAAACGGCTGAGTAGTAAAACAGTGGAATTTAATATAACTGAGTTCAAGTAGTAAGTCAAAACAGTGAGGAAATATCAAATAAAAGCCCTAAAGGGTTCAATTAGTTGGCACGAAGCCCAAATATGGCATTCAGCCCAATAAACGATAATAACAAATAGTTTTCAATCAAATACATGGTAAAATCATCAATCGGGACACGGACCAAGTCCAAATCCCTAATAGTACACGACCCCACACTCGTCATCGAGCATGTGCCTCGCCTCAATATAGTACTACGATGCACAATCCGGGGTTTCAAACCCTCAGAACATCATATACAATCATTACTCACCTCGAACAGGCTAAATCTCTAGCTCGCTATGCCTTTGCCCTTCGAATTGGCCTCCACGCGCGTCGAATCTATCCAAAATCAGAACGAGGACGTCAAACTATGCTAAGGGAACAAAGCCCAAGCGAATACAATCGAAGAATACCAAAAATCCCGAAATTAGAAAAACCCGAGCCTCGGGCCCACTTCTCGAAACTCGGAAATTTTTACACCAATAGGTTCCTTATCTCCCCACGAGTTCATACATACCAAAAATATCAAAATTCGTCCACAAATGACCCTTCAAATCCCAAATCAAAAGTCCAATTTCTCAAGCCCTAGTTCTTTAATTTTTCGCATAGTTTTCATAATTTTGTAGGTGGAATCACATAATAATCGAGTTTCTAGTCCAGAAATCTTACCTCCCAACGATTCCCCTTGAATTCCTCTTTAATCTCCTTCAAAAATCTCCAAAAACGAGCAGCTATGGGTGAAAATAGACCCAAAGTCGCGAACAAGACGAGTTATAAACATTCTGCCCAGGCGTGACTTCCCTTCTTCGCGAACGCGGTCAACGCCTCGCGTTCGCGAAGCACAAACTTACGTTGACCACTTTTTCCTCTACGCGACACGACCAACGCGAACGCGATGCCTTGCTCAGACCACTCTTCGCGAACGTGCTCACCCTTTCGCGAACGCGATGAACACTTGACCTCAAACCATAGCAGACCCAATTCCTCTACGCAATCGGGAGGTCCATCTCGCGAACGCGATGACCAACTACCCAACCCCTCCGCGAACGCGAAGCCCCTCTCGCGAACGCGAAGGCTTAAATTCTGGACTTCCTCAAATCCTTCTACGCGAACGCGATGCCCACTCGCGAACGCGAAGGTATAAATCTCTGCAACAGCTGAGCAGATTTTCAGCAATTCTCTAAACTTCAAAATGACCCGTTCAACCTTCCGAAACTCACCCGAGACCCCCGGGACCTCAACCAAAGGCACAAACATATTCCAATACCTTATTCAAACTAGTTCCAACCATCAAAACACTTCAAACAACATCAAATCACTCAAAATACATCGAATTCAAGCCTAAGTTTCTAAAATCTTCCGAAATACGCTTTTGATAAAAAACCCGACCAAACCACGTCCAAATGACCTGAAATTTTGCACACACATCCCAAATAACATAACGAAGCTAGTGCAACTCTCGGAATTTTATTCCGACCCTTATATCCAGATCTCGCCTATCAACCGGAAGTCGCCAAAATATCAACTTCGCCATTTCAAGCCTAATTCTACTCCAAACCTCCAAAACCCATGTTGATCACGCTCCTAAGTCACAAATCACCTCTCGAAGCTAACCGAACCACCGGAACTCACATCCGAGCCCTCTGACACATAAGTCCACATCCGGTTGACTTTTTCCAACTTAAGCTTTCTTAAAAGAGACTAAGTGTCTCCAACCTCACCAATACCAACCCGAATTCAATCCAACCAACCCGATACCTCAAAACACAGATGAAACAAAGAAATAAGAAGCAGAAATGGGGAAAACGGACCGGTAACTCATGAGACGACCGTCCGGGTCGTCACAGAAGAGTTCTCCTGGGTCTCAAGAAGTTGATCAAGAAACATGTTATATTCTTGGGCGACAAGGAAACGACAACATCAGTAAGACCAAATCTACTGTAATGAAGGTAAAACTAAGTTTGAAGAAGACTCGGGATATTGACGACAAGGTTCAACACAAGCATGTTGGTAGTGATAAAGAAAAGAAGACAGAAGCAGGAAAGTGTCGGTCCAACAATACTGAAAGCAAGAACATGAGTTGTGTTACGGGATCGGCAACCAAGAAATCTCCCGAAGGTTTTAGGAAGATGAATGAGGATATCAACAATACTGTAGTAGAAAAACAAGATTGTTCCCCATATATTAAGAGGCTTGAGGGAGGAGAGCAACTAAAGAAACAGAACAACTGCAGTGTAATTACAAAGCCAATGCGAAAAGTAAGATAAAACTCTACAATTGCAAAACCAGTGGAAAAAGCTACACAATGCTCTACAGTTGCAAGACCAATGCAAAAACCAACACAAAGCTTCACAGTTGCAAGACCAATGCAAAAAACAATACAAAGCATCATAGATATGAAGAGTTCGGGAATGAAGTTTGAATCAAGTAAAAGAAAACTTGAGGAAAGGGTTGCAGAGCAAAACAAAGCGAAGAGAAGGATCATAATGGTGGACTTTCTTGATATGCCTAAACCTGCTAAAGATTCGTGTGCTCCCAAACGCTGCTGGGATAGGAGGAGGAGGTTTTGAGCGAGATTCTGATTCGATTTGTTGCAAATTTTGCCACAAGAATCTTTTGTGTCTTGTAATTGTGGAGAGTTTCATCATTCACTTCATTTTTTTATTCAGCATTGTGTATACCTGTTATATGTCTGAATGATCTTTTACTCTGAAATAGAAAATTCACAATCATAATTTTGAGAAAGAAAACTCCAGGGATCAAGTATTCATTTCCTTCTCAGTGCTTTGATGTAGTTCCTCATGTGTATTTGGTTCCAAAGTGGTCTTTTTACTGCTACTTTTCTGCACTGTCATTTGCCATTCTTTGTTTAAAACTCAGAGTTGCTTTACTGTCTTTATACACTTAATTGATCTCTTGTATTCCTGTTTTCCTTGCAAGGGTGTATATATGCTAAAATTGGAAAGGAAGATATGGTTTTTGGTCTTACTATCTTTCTTACCTAACTAAGATTTGACAATAATCTATCTTTTTCTTGTTGCTATTACAGGTAAGGTTGCTAGTTGAACCCCTTCAAGATTTAGCATGGCATGACTTTGTTATTGTTTTATTAGTATTTAGTACGTAAATAACTAAAGAATAGAGGGCCAATGCACATTGCAGCCTGCAAGCATGGCTCTGGCAATGAGAATTTGCTACTACAGTACAAGCTTCATTTTTTGGCATAAGTTAAATATCATTCAATAATGCTCAAATTGATCTGTAGGTTGCTTTTTTATCATTTTTTTCTTGGCTGGTCAAGCCACACAACAACTATAACATTAGGAGAGCCAACAAACTGACTCCACTTTCCTATATAGAAAATCCAAGTAAATCAGCCTATTTAAGCAACAAAAAAATGAAAAGTGAAGAGTCTTTCAAATTCTGTCTCTACCGTACTCCTATTTTGCAGTCGTACATTCATAAACTCAATCAACTCTAACTTCAAATTTACTTTATAAAGATTTGGAGTCAGGGTGCCTGAAAATAGAGTTTTTCCTTTCAGGTTAGAAAGAGAGAAGACATAAAAAAAAGCTTAGATAATCTAACCTTCTGACAATTGATAAAGTAAATGTAGAGGCTGGACACTTCTGATTCAACATAGCAAGGACTTCCGCGTGTCAACGCTAAATTTAGAGCACAAAGGAACAGCAAAGGAATGGAGCCTCATTTTCATGTACTGTGGTTTTCTTGTTTCCAAATCTGTAAAAAAACTGAAAAGCTTCAGTTGCTCTCTTAATACCAGTATATATGGCCCTATGGCAGCAGTAAGAAGTGAGTAAAGGATATAGACAAGTTGAGCAAGTTAAACTTTTGTGCTCTGACTTCTCGCTGGAGATGAAGTCTCAAAACAGACAACCTCAGTAACTTAAAAACAACTGCAGCCCATGTTGCCAGAAGTTAAAGTTAAACAGAAAATTCTACAAAACTGCAACCACTTGAAATGCTGTCAAGCTCTACCTTTGATGAGTTCAAGTTAAGAAGAATCAACATCAACCCAGCCCCTATGAAGAAAAACAAATTATTGATTACAAACCAAAATCAAGTTCAATTGCAGAAAACGCATAAAGGATCGAGAGTTTGCACAATGCTGATGCCAATAAATGAGGACTATTAAGTCAATTTTGAATTAAGAGTAACTATAATATATTTTTAAATGCTTTTACTCCTCCCCTAAATAACAGTACACAAGGCAAGAACTAGCAATTAAGATGTCATAAGAGAATTTAACAGTCATGTAAGAAACGAAAATTATACTCCAAATCATTAAGAAATATTTCCAAGTTCGCAAATAACAAATAGGTTACATTAATGAACTGCAAATTTCATTAATAAGATTTCAAAATACTAATAAACCAGAGGTTTTGCATATATTTTGATTGAAACAAGTCACTTGATTTGCATCGCTAACCCTAACATCCAGCAAAAGACACAAAAACAATGACCTAGATCAGAGAACACGAATTAACCATAACCATAACCATAAGCACAACAAGCTTCACCCTAAGCCCTTTCACCACGAATCCTCCTAGCAAGCTGAATGTCCTTGGGTATGATAGTGACCCTCTTGGCGTGAATGGCACAGAGATTTGTATCTTCAAAGAGTCCAACAAGGTAAGCCTCAGCAGCTTCTTGTAGGGCAGCAACAGCACTGCTCTGGAACCTCAGATCTGTCTTAAAATCTTGTGCTATTTCCCTCACCAGCCTCTGAAATGGAAGCTTCCTTATCAACAACTCTGTTGATTTCTGGTACTTTCTGATTTCCCTTAAAGCTACAGTTCCGGGACGGAAACGATGAGGCTTCTTCACTCCTCCGGTCGCCGAAGCTGACTTTCTGGCAGCCTTTGTAGCTAGCTGCTTCCTTGGAGCCTTACCACCTGTTGATTTGCGAGCGGTTTGCTTAGTACGGGCCATTTTGAATATGAAAGGTTTTGTAGATTGGGAATTGCTTTGATTGTGAGATAATGGTGAATTCGTGAGATGTGTAATGGGGAAGTTTTATAGGAGGGAAGTGGGGCGGGAATTTTGGGAAATTTTGAAAAAAGTTTGAAATTTTTTTGAGAGTGAATGAAGTCCGTTAATTGGTTGAGATTTTGTTTTGATGGTGAAGATTTGAGAGGAGATGATAGCTCGGATACTATTCTATGTGCTGCCAAAGTAATAAATCGCTAGTCGCCACGTGGTTAAGCTAGGTACTCCCTAATTTGCTTTCTTTCCGATATTTTTTTTAAACATGTTTTCTTTCTAATTGTGCTTGCATGTTTACTTATCGTTTCTATTTTCGCCACAATTTAAACTCATCCAAAAAGTTGAATTAAACCCATCTAAAATATTTTCTGTTTAATTGAAATTAAACTGCTTATGAATCAAATCAGATGAGCTACGTTATCCCATTTTCAGAGAGAATAGGATTTAAGATCTTTCTGTGCTTTGTCCATTTGTCTTCTTCATAGCTTACAAGGCCTCTAATCAACAACTTGATCGATGGATTGGAGTGGAAAGACTTTTGATAAACATAATTCGTAAAATTTTGCAGGTTAAATGATACAAATAAATTGTAACTGTAATGCTGGTCCGAATGAACGAGAATCACAAACTACATACGCAGGACTACCTTCTACGTACCCACTCAAATACATATGGTAAAATCTGAAAATTAAAATGACGCATTTTACTTTGGCTTTGAGCTAAATAGAGCAATGGTTACTTTCCTTTGGATGGTATAATGTTGAAGAATTACATTGTAGACATGTGAATGTTATTGAATTTAGTCCGTACAAAATTTGGACTTGATTTTTAAATTAGTAAAATATTGGCATAAGTCTATATTAATTTATTTAAGTCTAAGATATAGATTTAAATAAAAGTTGAACTTCATTTGGGTTAGCCCATTCAATTGGGCGAATGATGAACCCACCTCATTAAGCCCAATATATCATCTTCCTAGAGGTCCAGTTTGGTGTCATGTGTCAATGACATTGCACGCCAGATCAAACGGAAGAGCCAATGGGATCATGCCACGTGTCAAAATGACAAGGCATGCCAAATCAAAATAAATGGCCAATAAAACTGCGCCACATGTGCAAGTGACGAGTTCAAGCAATCAAGTTCAAGTCCAAGAAATCAAGTTCAAGCTCAAGAACGAAGAACAAATCAAGATTCAATGAGTACGAGTTCAAATCAAAGTTTGTGCTAGTTGAATCCAAGATCATCGTTCGTGGCGACAAAATATAGATTCAAGGTCAAGCTCAAAGGCCCTTAAATTTATTTACTATTGGAAAGAAGAATCGGAGGATTCATAGAGATTTTACACTCATATTATTTGAAATCAAATACTACCATTGTTGTAATATTTTTCGGTCTTGATTTTATTTTCTTGACGCTATTTAATGTCTACAAATTCTGGCACGCCCAGTGGGACAATCTCTACCTCTCATCTCAACTTTTCAGTCACCAAAGTCCAAGAATATTGAAATGGCCTCATAGAAAATCAACTCCAGATCAACTTCCACTAAGGCTGCTAATTCCAAGTTCTATACTGATGTGGAAAAGCATCCTCGATGTCACCATTGGAAGCTTTAGCCCGATTACAAGGAGCAAAGCAAGATTTTTAGGACAACAAGCACTCCAAGTGTCGTCCACATCAACCCCTATTTTTGGATCTTCTTCCTCAAAAGGAGTAAGATCCTTTACAAGCACGACCCAAAAAGGGAACGACGTCGCCAAAGGGATCGAAAAGGTTCTTGCCCAACTTAGTTCATCTAAGTCCAAGAAACCTTTCATGCAAGCCGATGATGATGACTTGAGCGCTGGATCTACTCTAGTCAACATTAATGCAACATCTGAGCTCTATCCCAATAAGGATCCATATCATTATTCATCCTCCACGGCGATCATGCAAGCAATGGTTATTGAAGCTTCTACCGTAGACGAACAACTTGAAAATTTGACTAAAGCCGTTGAAGCTTTGTCAAAGCATGTGCAAGATCAAGATGCTAAACTTTTCAAGTTAACAAATAAGTTGGATAGTATTATATCCACACAGGAACCTTTAAATCTTCAAAGGTCACAAGAGAAAGGAGACTCATCCAAAAAGCAAGCAACAACAACTAAGGAGAACCAAGTCTCCGCTGAAGGTCTAATTCCCGTTGAGAAATTGAAGGACTATATCATGGAGGCTATCAAAGATAATCCTGAGTCGACATCCAAAATATATCTCACATAAGCAAAGCCGTATACGCAAAGAATTGATAACTTGAAGATGCATGTTGGTTATCAACCTCCTAAGTTGCAACAATTCGACGGCCAGGAAAATCCGAAACAGCATGTAGCGCACTTTGTTGAAACTTGCAACAATGCTGGAACGTATGGTGATTATCTTGTCAAACAATTTGTTCGATCTCTTAAAGGTAATGCATTCGATTGGTACACAGATCTCAAATCTGGTTCCATCGATAGTTGGGAGCAGTTAGAGCATGAGTTTCTCAATCGTTTTTATAGCACAAGACGCATCGTAAGTATGATCAAACTTACAAACGCTCGTCAACGAAAAGATGAGCCAGTTATTGACTTCATCAACCGCTGGAGGAGCTAAAGCATCAACTACAAGGATCGCCTTAGTGAAACTTCTGGCATCGAAATATGCATTCAAGGCATGCATTGGGTTCTTCGCTATATCTTACAAGGCATAAAGCCTAAAATATTCGAAGAACTAGAAACTCGTGCTCATGATATGGAACTAAGTATGGACCCAAGTGGAGACCAGGAGCTATCTGTCTTTGGGCCTTAAGATGAAGAAGAAGAACAAGAACAAGAAGGCGAGTATGGGGGCAAGTTATCATACGAGAATGAAACTGAAGAGTCTATGCATGTCACTATGCTCCTCAACGCGCGAGCGTAAAGTGCAAGTCACAAGATCACAAAATTCGAGCCTAAACTACACATCATAAAGCTCATCAAATTCGAACCAAATATTCATGCCATAAAGCTTATCAAATTTGACCCAAATCTTCAAGTCACAAGATCACAAAATTCAAGCCAAATCTTCAAGTCACAAAGTGAGCCAAATCTTCAAGTTTCAAATCTCTTCAAATTCGAGCTAAATCTTCAAGTTTTAAAGCTCTTCAAATTCGAGCTAAATCTTCAAGTTGCAAAGCTCATCAAATTCGAGCCAAATCTTCAAGTGATAAAACTCATCAAATTCGAGCCAAATATTCATGTCTTAAAGCTCATCAAATTTGACCCATATCTTCAAGTCACAAAGCTCATCAAATTTGAAGCAAATCTTCAAGTTTCAACAGTTCTTCAAATTTGAGCTAAATTCAAGTTACAAAGCTCTTCAAGTTCGAGCAAGTCTTCAAGTTGTAAAACTTCTTAAATTCGAGCAAAGTCTTCTTGCAAAGCTTCTTGATACACGAGTATAAACTGTATAAAAAATATATTTTTCCTGAACTACGTAATGACTTAATCATCCTCGCCGGGTACGTAGGCAACTTGGAGTTTCATTTTGAGTTCAGTCACGTAAAGGAAAGTCTCTTTATCATGATGGCAAAGAGAAGTTGGTGATGCTTTCCTCCAAAGCTCAAAAAAATGGAGCACTATACGTATTGCAAGAAGGGGCTGTGCCTCGCCAGAGCTTGAAGGTTGGGATGCTCCATGAACTTCTTCAACAAATTGCAAGAAAAGGTCGTCCAAGCCAAGTCTCGATTGATGGGATGTTTCGTGTACCTTTTCACCTCCAAGAAGTGGGTGGTGATCATATTCTTCTTCAACTGATTTGTGATAGAGAACTCACCATGAACGTCTCCGCCAAAGGTGCAAAAAAAACATAAAAATACGTTGCCGAACAATTCTCCCGATTTCAGCGCTTGATTAAAAAAAATTCTGTGACTGGATCGAAAATGGTCGAGCTTTAATTTTTATGTATGCTTTGCTTCTCAGAGGATTCTATCCAACATCGCAAACAACTCCTTATTTGGACGCTCCTATCTCGAGATATGAATTTTGAAGCGAAGGTGCGCAAAGCTAGAAAGCTAGCTGGGCAGACGTCTGGACCAATATAAACTGTGTGTAATTTACAGGCTCCTAGCTGGAGATATAATTTTTTTAGCAAGATTGTGCAAAGCTGAAAATTAAGCGTGACAGATATCTCGACAAATTTCAAAATATTACTTCGGCAAATCTATAAGGATTTCCATCTTGAAATTTGCATATGTTGCAGGTATTCAAGTCTGCTTTCGAGTGGCGTAGACGGCCTGCGATCTAGACACTCCTAACTCAAGATGTGAATTTTTTAGTGAGAGCGCGCAATGTTGTGAGGTCGACATAACAAACTTTTCTATCAGATTCAAAGAATTAATTCGCCCAATCCCGAAGAAATTTTGCTCTGAAATTTTTATATGTTCTAAAGATTGGAGTTGTGATTCTGTATGAATAAGCATCTTGAAGTTTGAACGCCTCTAGTTTAGGACATCAATTTTTTGGCAAAAAATACGCAAAGCATCGACATAAACTAAATTTAAAGGTTAAGACGCTCCATGAACTTCTTTGCCAAGTCACAAGTGAGGGTTGTTTCAAGCCAAATTTTGAACGATGTGATGCTCCATGAACTTCCAGGTCAAGTTGCAATAAGGGGTTGTTTCACGCCAAATCTTGGTAAAAGAGATGCTCCTTACTCTTTCCAAAGAGATGTTCCTTATTCTTGTTTACCAAGGTTGTGTAAGGAGTCTCCAAGTGTTCGTCAAGCTGCAAGTGGGGGATGCTTCATGTACTTATTTCGCCAATGCACAAGGATAGGATACTTCATCTACTTCTTCGCCAAAGCTGGAATGAGAACTCATCGTCTACGTCTTCGCCAAACTACAAGGATATAATGCTTCATGCGCTTCTTTCTCCAAGCAATGCACAAGGATGATGACTCCACTAGTTGC